AAGCCTTTGCCATGTACTTAATTTGGGTAGATGTGCCAGGTCTTTGTTCTGCTTTTCTGTGGCCATGCTATATTTAATATACTTTTGCTTTGCTTTTGGAAGATGTGCTTTTATATTACCATAAACCACAAAACAAGTGAACCCTGGAAAAAGGTTCTTGACTGTTCTATTACTACAATCTGATATCAGATCAATCTTGCAGTGTAAATTCCCCTATGTACTTTTAAAATGAAATATCTGTAGTTTTTAACTGCAAAAGTCTTACTTGTTTAAAGTCAACCAACCTATGGCCTGAGGGCTTGCAGAGGAGCAAGACAGCACAGCAGCTCAGGATAGATGTAGTGAAAAAAAAAGAAAAAGCCTTATAGCCTAGATCTTGCATCTTTTTGATTAGGTGTAGATTCCAAGCAGTTCACATACTAATTACAGCAATCAAAAGACTGCTGTATGATATATGCAATTGCTGGTGGGACCAGAAGGCTTCTCATGACCCTCTAGATGCACAGAAGACTAGTCCTGCCCCCCTCTCCTGCCCTGCCCTTGGCAGCCCCCAGGAGGATGCCAGCTGCCTGGAGGGTGACAACCTGCTGCTCCAGAGCTCCCAGGGCTGAAGATATTCCCCAGGGGTCAGGTCTGCACAGATGTCAGATTGTGTTGCAGCTATTAATGATAAGTGATAACTTCAGTTATCAGCTTAGTTCTTCGTCTCTGCAAAGTTAATTTGATGATTTATGGGTTTTAACAATTACTGAACTCTTTGTCAGTGTTATTCCTTAATACTTTTGTCTTGTGTTTTTGGAAGCTGAGGCATGTTACTTTACCTGCACAATGTTCAATTTCTGTACAACTTTCCCTTACACTATTGATCCACTATTTTTAAAATAAATATTTCCCAAATGCCGTACAGTCCAACATGTATTTAGGGATAAATTAACGAGAGATAAAATTATGGTCTACTAAGAAAAGTTATCTTTCAATAAAAGTGTTTGAGATTTCTTAAACATTTTTTTATTATTATATCTCAACACCTGATATAAATCGCAGAGAGGAGTACCTGCTGAGAATAATTTACACTTACTGGATAACAAAGAAGTCCACTTTTAAAATAGTTTAAAAAGGAGAAAGATCTTTTAGCTTTATAAAGCAGTTACAGTAAAAATTCTGCTCTCTGCTAGGTTCCTCTACAAACATAGAATAAATATATCACAGTCTCTGACTGCTTGGTGCTTCATTAGAGAATCAGAAAGCAATGCTCATACCTGTGCAAAACAGTCTGTGAGTGCCTGGTACCTGATTCAGTGCCCCTTGA